CGCATGTCCTGCATCGCTGCTCCTGTTGTCTGCAAACTGAAGCATTGTGTCAAATTTTCGATATTTTTCATTTGTGCCTCCATTTGAGATTGCTGTTGGAAAAGAAGCGTTTGAAATCGTTCAGCATAAAAATTCATCACATTTCAAATTTTCTCCGTCGCCATTTGTCATAATCTTCTCACTAGACGTGATTCCGAAATTGGCACTTTACTGCTCCACGGAACTACGCGTCCAACGAAGAAAAAAGCAAAACACCGATGACCTTGACAAAATAACATGTTAATCGCCGTCAACAAACACTGTACAACTACTGCGGACCTTGGCTGTATTTACAGGTCTCTTGCTGACCTTCGACTTCTAGAATTGGAGGGTCAGCTACCAAGCTAAGTGGTTCCCCATGGCTTTTGCCGAAGTGTCAGGTGGTTTTTAGTTACGTGCAGAAATTAGAACATTCCAGAACGTTCGAAATCGATGCGATAATGTTAATAATCGATTAAACGCGAAAATAGTGGATTTTCTAGACAACGCTTACTTTCTCCCCGACATTATCCCTTGTACCAGGCAATTGTGCAGACAAGAGCTAACGAACTCATCCGATTTTCACTTGGATGTGCAGTGTGAAACGTATGAAGGGTACTAAAATCATCATTCCTTGGTAAGCGATAACGCTTGAAAGTGCCACTGTTGGCCTTTGTCTTGCCTGCATTGCTTTTGGAGCTCGGTGGATTAGAGGTTAAGGTGTTAATTAGCAACCTCTAAGTCCAAAGAGCAATTCCTAGTTTGGATAATTCTATTTGAGAAGTGCACGAAACCGGTCATGGAGCGCAGGATGGGGGACAAGCAGCACACAGTATTTATTACTTGAAAGTCCCAAAGGAAGTTGCAGTATGGCAGGATTACTATACTATACCATCTCGACACGCTGCGCCTGAATCCACCGTAATGGTTTGTTTCACCCCGACTTTATTAGGAAACGTAACCATGGTATCCTTGGAGCCGTGAGAAGGTAAACCAATCAATCGAGAGCATCTGCTTACTTAGTTGTCGTCGTGGAGGCAAATTCAATTTCAAAATAGTTGATCGGAAACTGTTTTCAATGTAGACTGGGATCCCCTTTCTGAATCCAATAATTGCCCCTATCTGCTGGTGATCAGCCAGTAACTTGAAGTGACGACACGGAATCATATAGTGGACTCTCGTTGCAGTAAAGGCTTATCTTCTGATCAGCTGATGATAACGGGCGGCGTGGGCACTTATTTTCTGGATTCCGTTGAATTGAAACCGAAAAATTCTACCTCCAATTGCACAATTAGTGGCGAAGATGAGATCCAGTGCCGAAAAAAATACCATTGTTAAGCTCTACAGACAGATTGTCAGGCAATGGAGAGGGCATTAGTGTGGATACCATGCTGCATTAAAACGAGCTGAGGTAGGGAAAAGTTCTGAGGGAATAAACCGAGTAATCGACTACCTTTAGAATGATGAGTTGTTGGAGTCGATTTTGCCCCTTGCTTAGGAGAGGTAACGTGACATATGGAACTACGGTTTCGTCCGGATGATTGGACTTTCATGCAGGAGAATGTGCTGGCGCACGGGTGCATACTTCTGCTGCAGATCGTTGGCGAGATTCAGGGTGCATGCAGCGTAAAGTTATTCCAACGGAATGTTACTGTCGGCGATATTATTAGTGTTGCCGAGCACCTTAGTTTATCGATCCAACCGAGTCTTAGAAAGTTAGGTCGCAAACTATGCGTTAAGAAACAGACGCCCGTGAGTCAGGTGTTCTCGAAAGTTAGCAGACATTATGTCGCTGAATCTAGCTACAGTACTCTAACAGATGCATTTGAGGGGGTTACGAGTTAGAGAAATGCTTTGTCCACTAACCACGATTTAACTCCGACCGGAAAATAAAATGATGTCGGGTGTGATATCAAGTTACAGACTAATTGACGTGCCATCGATCGTCAAGTTACAACACTTCTGTCAGGAAATATATCCGGACAAAAGCATCGAATGGTGGGTGTTAAGGTAAACTTATGGCGTCGCATTAAATTATTCTTGAAATAGTCTGGCTACTAACGTAACGAGAATATCCCTTAAATCCGTAGCGACTGCACATCTGTTGCTTGTTACTTATGAATGGAAGGATTTTGGTGAGTATTTTTGTTCGTCGCATTCAGCCGACAATTCAGATATGTCGACCAGCTGTCCGGAAAAGCACCAGACGGCCGTTTCGCCCTATTGGGGCTCATCAGTGGTGCGCATCCTTCCGTCCTCTGCGGAGGATCGAACCCATGACTGCTAGTGGCTCTTGCCAACTAGCCCGCAGCTTATGCAACTGCGCCATGGAGGACGGTATCTGACTATCGTGAACTGTTAGCTAAATGCGATATAGCCCGACGCATCCTCCACTGCCATGCAGATGACAGCGGTCGGCCTTCCGGCGTCAGGACTTCCCGGTTACGGCAGCTATGAATCGACATAGCATTTTGTGGGATCCGTACGGGCGAATTGGTATTACTTATGAATGGAAGGACCGAAGTATGCGCACCACTGATGAGCCCCGATAGGGCGAAACGGCCGTCTGGTGCTTTTCCGGACAGCTGGTCGACATATCTGAATTGTCGGCTGATTGCGACGAACAAAAATATCTGTTGCTTATATTTTTTGTAGGGAACAACTCACTTTTCCAACAACAGTAAGACGTTTTTGATAACCTGTCTGAAGTTATGTACTGAAATGCATTAGAGTGCGAGGGACCAAATTAACCTCCAGAGGAAATGAGAGCTTACAAGTCAAGGTGATCATCGCAGAATCGCGTTTGAGGTAGAGCAGTGTCCGGCACCTTAAAGATTTAGGAGATTCTACTTCATCTTTTCAAAATTACGAGTGCAGTGATCGGTGAACATTTTTGAAGGCCAAGATAAACATGACGGCAAAGAAAAATGCTGCCTATTTGGTTCTGCCGTTCAAGGGGGAACATGTGGCAAATGATATCGGACACAAGCTCACGTCCGCTCTAACGCGCACGTACACAAGTGCCCAGTTGCGCCTCATGCGCACAACACGGAAACTGGTTCCTCAAGACTGTCAGAGCTACCCTTCGGCTAGTTCGGCCTCTCATGTGGTTTATCAGTTCACCTGCAGTTGCGGTGAGGTCTACATAGGGAAGACTAACCACTGACCACTTGTCAAAGTGGGTCGAACAAATAATGGCGAAATAAAATGTAGCATCCCACAGAATGAGTCGGAGTCCGTCATCATTTATCGCCAAACACTTGACAGCTAGTCACCATGTGAACCAGAATAATGCGTTCAAGGTGTTATTACGTAACATGAACCCGATAATGTTGGCAATCAGTGAAGCGGTGCTAATTAGAGCTTATCAACTTGTGCTGCGAGCACAAAAACACTTGAGGCATTCAATCAGATTGCCTTGGTCTTAATTTTGACAAAAGTGTCAGCATACTTTCGGTGAGAACTACCGAAACAGAAATCGATCGACTGATCGAAATAAAATGCAGTGATCGAACTTTTGAGGGCCCGCCTGCAGTGTGGCTGCGATAGTTCCCCTTGGAACCCCGAAGCATGTCGATGAGTTCGTGTTTTACCTATTCAAATTCCATTTGCTACTACTAGAGGAAGACGGTGTCTGAAGTCTATTCTATGATGGGTTTCCCATGAAGACAGCCAAGATACTACAACATCAACTGTTATAACGTGATATCGGATTCACAGTCTGCAGAACAGCTCGTTTTGTCCAGCTCCATAAGATCCAAATAAGTTAACCAGGGCACAACGCCGGAATGCACCAAAAGAAATTACTAAGCAACGTAGCAGTTTATGGGAGTGCGGGGGAGGCTTAATGTCGGTCTTTTAAAAGAAATATAAATTACGGTGTTCCTAAGTGTCAAGACCGCATCAAAATACTGAAGTGAGAGACAGCATGCCATTTGAGCATTTAAACCATGACCATCACATTGGTCAGTGGCGTACCGTGGTGACGTTTCCTGGGTCTGCTTTAGCTCGTATCATGGTGGAAGGTATTTTCATCTTGATAGTAAAGTGAGAGTTCACAGAGGACGAAGTACCGCCGATACCCGATGGTTTTAATTCTCTAAGGATATCTAAGAGGCCAACAGAGGCGCACCAACAATGCCCCCTGTTCATGCCAAAAATCTGGCAGGCAGATTTATATGGGAATGACAAGCTTCGAAGGAATGGGGAAACAGAACATGGTAAAAGTGATGAGTGATGGGCCTACAAATATAGCGGAATGAAAATGTTAGGAGCTGTGAGACAGGGAAAACGGGTCAAAAAGTAGCGCGCCTGGTTGCTTACCTGCGAGATCATCTTAGATGTGCCGATATTCTGTATGGGATTCAAGCCATCATCCGGGTTCAGTAAGCAAGCAGTCATACGAAAAAAGTACGCAATCGTAGGACCACTGATGAGCTCTGTTAGAAAACGTGACTCATGAACCCAGTAGGATGTCCAGGTAAAATGATGGCTCTTTTAAAATGGCAGTGCGCGAGGAAGGCTAAAGGAATGTTGTGAGCCAGCAGACAAGGACGATCTCAATCTTAAACTCACACCAAAAATATCACACGATGCAAGTGCTGGTGATGAGAACAGGTGAATTCAATGAGGGCGTGAGGTCTGTGCAAGCGAAATCGGGTGATAACCACGCATATACGGTACATAGCTACAGGTGGTCAGCCGCAATCCGAAAGAAGTAGTGGTTTACAAAGTTGAACTCAGCTTTTTCTGGATAAGTTATCAGGTTTCTTGGCTGAAAAAATCTATGCGACAAGCAGTTGGCTTAGAACAACCACAGAAGTATCAAACAAATCTGAGAAACCACACATCGCAAACGGAAGCAAGGTTCATGTGCTAATTCACCGAACAGTAAGTGCCTGGATACAGTGCCGATGGATACGCAAAAAGTCGCCACTCTGAAAAGGTCGTGGAGAAAAGGAGCTGAGGATTTAAATATTTACCAGAATGCTGGGCCAAAATGCTTCCAAACCTTGAAAAGTCGGTCGTGTCACCTGGGCACTGTCCTTGTTGACTACTAAGTACCAGTCACCGTGCTTCAGATGTTTTTCAATGGAGAGTTTGTATTCTGTAAAGAAATGTTAATGGTGGGGACAGTGATTTTATGGTCACATTTAATATTGGAACTATGTTCAACAGTCACAAATGTATTACAACCGTATTCAGTCATTATCAGTTAGACTGCGAACACTACCTTTTAAAAACGCAAATGCCTACAGTGAGAACTGCATCAAACCAATATTAAAGCTTCACCATGAAGCATGCACCTCGTGAAAACACATCGACATCATTATTAACACCGTGAGGGATACCAAACTTCGGAATAATAGTAATTAGAAGATGAAGAAAGCCCAATCTCTGAAGGGTACATAAATGTGGTCGAAGTGCCACAATTAATTGACAAAGTACTAGGCTGTTTTGGAATTGCCGATACTAGGAAGCTCAGTTATGCAATTGTCACACAAACGCCGGGTTGCGGTGGACCTGTTGTTATGACCCACATTGCCTCGATGGTGAGGGAAAACAGTAAGTTAATAAAAAGCAGAAAGAGTATAACGTATACCAGTCGAAGGACAAAGTTAAGGAGAAAACAGACCTAACTTAAATCACTGCTCAAGAGCTCAAACTAATTGCGGAAGGTTGCAACTCCAAAGAAGCCAGTGTGAAGACTCTTTTCGTACGCGACAACGTTTGTTGAAACACGGCGCACTTGATTTACAAACTGTGTTTAATTTAGCGAGGTCCCTAGAGATAGTACACCTGCACTTACGGTTTTACTGAAATAGCCTAATTTCTCCAACCTGCACATTAGTGTCCAAGAGACCCGAGTCGCCCCCAAAGCCATCGAACCTCCCCCCTTCACTTTCACCATCACCAGACGTTATAGCAGTACCTAGTGAAAAGCGTTAATTTTGTGGTTTCACTTGACATTTATGGCCCAGACGTCCACCTCGGGGGTCAGTTTGCACGAGCTGTGGGAACACTTTGTCTGTGAAACTCATCCAGAAAAATACTTTCCAGTTTATTAGGGTTAGAGCCAACCGAAACTAAGTAAAGCCCAGGGTCCGGAAACCAGATGGCGCCACGTAACTGGGTTTGAAGTTGTTACTGTGCAACATAAAAGCGAATAAACCGCGTGTCCCGAGTTGAGTACTCACGTGATTGCAGATGGGCATGTGCAGAGCTGAAGTGTTCCTACCAAACCTGTGAAACTTGATTTATTTTGTAGAACAGAACACTGTTCTCGTCGCCTGGCTCACAGACACTACACCCGTAAAGCTTTCGTTCCATATATATTTCCACGTTTCAGCTGTCCATTGTAGTGATTTTGGCAATCACCTTTCTGGCCCGGGATATTTTGTCCGGTGTAGGGTTCACTTCGCCAGTACACTCTGTTTGACTAGTATCGCGTTCTGGCATACAACGGTGCACCAGTCAGGAGTCTGCGGGAAACTATCTTGCTCGGACTACCTACGACCATCAAACAGGTAACTTCCCTGATTTCGCATGCAACACTTGTGGTAGCTCCTGGTCGCTTAAGATGGACTGTCACGAGCTGAAAGTGCTGATTGATGCTTACAGCTCCAAAGCTACAGCACTGCTGTTGCTGGTGCTCACAAACCGAATCGGAAGCCAAGTCCGTTTCGCACACAAATATCTTTGGCTTTAACCCATGCCAATAGGTTGTTTATCACAATATCCACACATTATGTGCTCATATGTCCTTGTCGAACATGATTTCCTCCAACTGTAAGGGGAAATTGGAGACTCTATTCTGTGAGCAAAAACACCCACCTGCCCTCTCACAAGCGCTAATTTTAAAGCCTCATTGCTCTTCTATAACCTTGCACCAAAGTTTTAACCCATAGCGATGAAGTCCAAAAGCCACAATCAAACGCTTCATCTGTTCCGAAATAAGCCATCTCCTACCGGGACGCATCATCCTTCTCCCACTGAGAGCTCAGGTTCTAGTCGCGGCTAATGAAAGGCACAAGCGACGAATGGTTGTGGATAAAAGTCGAAAGATAGATCGATTCAGAAGTTTCGGCGCTTAGCTCCCCTCTAAATTGGAAGAAATGGTCCGAAAGAACACTGTGTTCAAAAGGTGCGACATCATTAAGTCCCCATCAAACGTGAGGAACGGCCGTACATGGGTTTCGAAGCTTGTGTCAATCCCTACCAATTCTGTCGTATAACTTTTGGTGTAACCAATGGCCTCATCAGCTCCCAAGGTACAGTTGATGAGATAATCTTCAAATAAAACCTGACTGATACCACTGCCTACATCGCGGCGAAGAATGATGAAAATCGAGAAAATTTAGATCACTTTCTGAGCTTCCTTATCAACTATGGCATCACCTTTAATGACACAAAACGCGTGTTCGGGACCGAGCAGGCCAAGCCTCTTGAACACAAAATTTTACAAGGAATAATTAGGCCCGACTACGAACGACTGAGGCCACTACGTGAACTGCCACCTCCCACACAAAGTGACGGGGATGTCTGCTTATTACTCACAATGCAGATTGCACTTTCTCAAAATAATTAACCCATTCATTCACGACACGAAATTTCCAATACCACCATTTGTCCAGAAGTCCTCTGAGGAGTTAAAGGACGAACTGGAGAACATTGCACTTGGCATTGTTGACCCCATGTGGCCTTCGTAGTTGAGACAAATGCTTCTGACGTACCCCCAAAGGAAAGCCGGCAGTTTTCCTTTTTCGGACTTCGCCTACAAGTGAGAAGCGCCATTCCGAAGTATGGGAAAAGGCTTACGCAAATGTTGAGTCGGTGCGAAAATGACGACACCAACTGCTTGATGACCGCTTTGGGCTTAGTACAGCTCAATGTTCTGTCGCCTTCAACCAGATAGCCGACACGTTCCCACGTAACTGCTGCAGTAGCTCGTCCGGAAATCTGAACCAAAAGCAACTATCTACGTGTCACTCTGGAATAACTCGTATGTTTCACTTTGTGTGCGTCAAAATCTTACATCGTGTGGCTGAAATCAAGTCAATGCTTTTATTGTGCCGTTTGTTGCGAGCTAGCCGACAAAAGCAACTTGACCATCTGAACGCCATAATGTGGTGGTTAAAGGTTGTCTTCCCACGAGATGGGGAAACAGTTATCCAATAACAATTGTAGAAATTCTCGTTTTTCATTCGCGTCGCATTCCCTGACTTGACCTCTTCTAGCGATAGTGATCATGTTAGCTCTTTTCAAAGTTAGGCACACCTGCCCGTATTCAACCAAAAACAGATTCATCTTTCATGTCGCATGATCTGCACAGCATTCTTCGTAACGAAAGAAGACCGGCAAGCTACAGCGGCCAAAGGAATAAATCAAACGCCTAAAGTCATAAAATTTGACGGTTACGGGAACGTAACCGTCAAATTTTATGACTTGCATTTTTCTCGATCGCTTCTGTATACTGCAACAAACGTGAATCCGCATGAGGATTTCCAAACGCAGTTACAGGTCCTCGTCTGGCTCAACCATCCCTACCTGCCTGTCATCACCATGTCCGGTCCTACTTTGCGGCGACAGTGGTGGCAACTGGATTCACCGCACTTTCGTGTCGGATCAAAGCTGCTTGACTGGACTGAACTGAACTGACAGTTTCATTCAGCCATTTCCCTACAAAAACTCTAATATAGCAAGAGCGAACAACATTTGAGGGGAATAAGCTGAATTCAGACAAACAGTGGAAGGATTCAAGGAGTGCAAATGAAAAAGAATCAACAGGGGAATCAATAGGACACCGAGAAATTAGAGGTTATCGCCCGTAATGATGAAAAACACACCTTACTAGGGCAGAGGGAGGCTGGCCACAAAGTCGAGCCGTTTGGAGAGATTCGGCTTCAGTCCCCGGATAGAGCTAACTTCGGCAATTTGAAGCAAACTCGGAGTACTCTGCTTGTTGATAACCTTGAATGCGTCACGAGGTTTTTCGCACAAGGTGCAATCAGTCAGATGCTGGGCGAATGAGCAGGCAAGAAGCTTAGGGCCACTCGTTGCTAAGTTCCGTAGAACGTGTTCCATGGTCCTATCGATAATTTTGGAGTGATCAAAACTACACAGAACTATTAGGACGAGAACCAGTTTTCGGTGTGAAGAAAAAAAACAAAAAATGACAGGAACTTAACAATTATATGCCTGACCAATTTTCATAGAAATGGATGCAACGCTGGTTCCAGCCGTCAAGCTATATAGCGCACAACAACTGATCAACCCAGTAGGAGCTTCAGCAACTATCATACCTCAATGAGACACAATTTGTCGTACTATGTCAAGATCAAGCATTCATACAGCTGCACCGTTACTGCAACGAAGGTTAATGTTGGGATAGGCAAATGTTTCAAACTCAATTATCATCATTATCATACACGTTGCCTAGAGGTAGGGTTTAAGAGAGTCTGCCCATGGCAGACTTACGAAGCCGGTCCACTAGCTAGCAGACCGGAGCAGTTCGACCCCGACGCACCCTGAAACCTATGGGCCAGCCAATGTAGGTGAACTAATGAGGGCGTTTCATCTAGAAGGCTACCAATGAGAATGACCTATCTTGAAGCCATCGAATGAGCGCATTATTTCGGTAGCCAACAAGTGTAGTAATTGCTGAAATTCAAGAAATACCGGCTAAGTCATTCTCCTATGAACCACTTGTTTGAACCCATTATTCGCTTATACTTACTGCTTGCTGGGTGCCCAAAAGTTTTGCCTGAGACCTTTGTATCCTGATCTGGGAAGTCAGTTGGTCTAGATTGCGCAATAGCGGCGGCTTATGCGTAGGTCAGCGGAAACCGCAATAGATTTTGGCGAAGGAGGTGAACTAAATCAAGGTGTCAATCTACTCGGAAAACAAGGTCATTTTGTTACAGCAACAGCGGCAATTGGAAGCTGCAAAACTGCGTGCGGTTGAGATGTTATCCCTTCAGCCCACAGTCATCCATAACACTGAGGAGCCTTCGGCGGACGCAGCGATCAGTGTTACGGAGAGTCAGCGTTCAGGCCGACAGCAGTGCCGCAATAGTGGATCGATCCATTGCAGCAGTGTTAGTGAGT